CCTATCTTATTGTGTCCTATTATTATATTCTAACGTTCAATCATCAATGATCGTAATATCATATGGCAAATCTTTAGTGTTAATCTTTCATGGTGTTTTTATTTTAAAAAGTTACTATTACACTTTGGAGAAGCACTTTAGATGAAAATAAAAGTAACTAACCGTTCTCGGCTATTCTCAACGCAATATCTAGAGTATTTCCGATCCCAGGGCATTCATTTTATTTAGCGGATCGGAGAAGATGGTTTGGTAGGTGGGGAAGGTTAACTCGGTACAGAGCTTTTTCTCTCTTTCTTTCTTTTCATGTTCGTCCCACTGGAGCCAGAGGCTGAAGCGTGGCTCTACTGCTGACCAAAGATCTTCGTCTTTCTTGCTCCTCTTTGGAACGGTAGTATGAGAATGAGACCGAAACTGAATAAGAGAAAGAGAAAGAGAGAGAGAGAGAGGGAAGATGGGTTAGGGTGAAGGCGTGGGGTGAGACGTCTGGACCCAGCCGAGATGGACACAGAGAATCGCCATTACAAATTGACAAGCTTGATTGATGGTCCTCGCGGAAGGGACGACGGTACAGGGACCTAAAGTGTATATGTATGTATGTATGTACATATATAGATACGTGTAAGAGAGAGGGAGAGAGAGAGACAGAGTTCCCTCAGAGTTCGGGCTACGAGGGACCTGCAGATAGCAAAGCCGCCTGGGTTATATTCAGAAAGAAGGAAGAAGGGCAAAGGGATCAGTTGCTGCTCGCTTATCGGAGAGCAAGGCCTCTCAGCGAGTGCGTGACGAATGGTCCGCGACTAGATTCGTAAAGGAAGGGTCGACGTAACTGCTGCTGCTCCCAGAGTTTCTGATCCTACTCCTGCTCCTATTCTACACCACCGAACTCAAATATAGCACCACTGGTGTGCGTGTATTTTCCCTGGAATAAAAAAAGCTTTCTACGAGAACTCGGTAACTTCGAGGCCACCATCGGATAAGAGTTGGAATCGTGTGTGGATGGACCGTGTCCACCCTTCAGAGGACTCACCAGGGAAAAAGGTGGAAACGATCCGTCGCATTTCTTTCACCAATCCTACCTTACCCACCCACTTCTCTCATTCCTCACTTTATTTCTTTGCCCACTCGATGCCTTTCACCTAATTTTCAATACATTTTTCATCCCCGATCTAAGTCAATACTTTTATCTTCACTTAAACAACTATCGAATATCATCCCTACTTTTTCAACTAATAATAAAACAAAAGTATTATTAACAAAATGAATTATACAAAATAGAAATGTGGATTTTTACAAAGTTTTTGCAAAGTTACAGAATAATGAATTTCGTTAAGATTAACAGGCTTTCTCTTTTATACTTAGTTGTAAGTCGTGTGTCGGTGGTTTTAGGTGGTAGTAGCTGACACCTTTTATCGCGCTATCGTTACGAAATGCACCGTACGTTCCGAGCTTTACGGTACTTTGGGAACGCTGTTACGTTTTTACTGCGTCGTTCTGGGAACGGACGGAGGGATAGCGATTCTACTACTGTTACCGATATAATAGTAACTGTACAAAGCAACCTAGTCCCGCCAGTCGTTGTCGAGTCTTTTAAAAGTCTTTTTCTTTCCGAATTCAGAAATGACAAATTCGTACGATATAAATTTATTTTCATTCATTTTATTCTTATCTTAAAGAATTTGCAAAAGAAATTTTGGTCTCACTCGCATTGGTCTCCACTTCGATTGCTTACGTTTGTCTCGTAACAAAGTCGATTTAAATGACGGAATAAAAATCGTTGATAAAAATAAAGAGAATATTTTGACCAGCAGGATGTGGTAAATCAAGGGACGAATCAAGTCGAGCCTACGCAACAGCAACCAGCAGCAGCAGCTGTGAAAGAAATGCAAGCGCATAAAACGTGAGAATAAAAAAGAAAGAAAGAAAGAAAGAAAGGAATGTACCCAGAATATAATCTCGCTCGATATTTGACAGAAGGTTCGTTGTACATATTCCAATCGGGATACATCTCGATCGTTGGGATAAAGGATACCGCGACCAATTTGAGGTATAAACCGGTGCACCGCCTACACTCGCGTGTGCAAGAAAGAAAGGAAGAAAATAAGTTGAAATAAAAATAATAAAAAAGGTGTTATCTCGATGGCTTCTTCCACGAAGAGTTCTCGATAAGGATCGACGACTGTTACCTTACGTAGGAGCTCGTAAACTCAACGATCGAGATACTTCCATGACGCGTTATCGCCGATAACAGAGAAAGAAAGAGAAAGAAAGAGATGGTACATTGCTGGTACAGATTTCTCTCGAGCACTCGGAATAATAACAATGCCTCCCGGCACTCTCTCTCTCTCTCTCTCTCTCTCTCTCTCTCTTTCTCTCTTGGAGTCAATGTGGAGCACATCGCAGCTGCGATCCACGTAATGAAAGTATGATTGATGATCTGTACGACGAGCATCATTAGCTCGACACGAAGGAACCTCCTCGTCGTCCAAGTATCCCGTCGAACCTTGTTGTTGCCATTGTAATGTCGTGACCAAGAAGGCAAGAGAGAGAGAAAGATTATTCTGAAAATGTATTCCGAATTAACGTTGACGACTCGTGCTGGATTTCTGAATCAGAGAGGGAGAGAGAGAGAGAGAGAGAGAGAGTTTGCCATTGGTGTTTTCAAGCTACAACAACAGCAACAGCGCGAGTCTTGCGATATGCAGCACACACGTTTGATGAAGAAAGAAATAAAGAAAGAACAAAAAACAAAAAAGAAGAGGAAAAAGAAAAAATCGAGCTTTACGAGAAATCGATCACGCGGTTGAACGCGGCCACGGGGGAGCAGGAACATTTGAAAGATACATTTATCTCGTTTCCGTTCGAACAAAATCTGCCCTGGGGTCTAATGCCTCGGCTATTAAGCTTTAATGGACTGCCGATCGTCGAGAAAAAAAAAGAGAGAGAGAGAGAGAAGATATTGGAAAAATTCTTGGCAAACGTTTTCTTCATACCCCTACCTCCAACCATTTCAGAAAATTTTCGCTACTGTTCTGGGATTCTTTTTTTTTCGTTATTCCCCATTACTATCGTTAGAATTAAAAAAGATAATAATAACAAAAAAATAAGAAAGAAATACATTATCAGAATAAATAGTGTAAAAAGAAAGGAACGTAGGAAAGTAGTCACATCAAACGAAAGGGCTGAAAAGGTCGAGGATCGTAGCTGCTGCGATCAGGATTTGACTCAGGATTATAATCTAACTTGTACACGACTTTCCACTTTAGCCGAAGCCGAGTAAAGCTACTACTCTCTCTCTCTCACTCTCTTTTTGGTCTTTCATTTTCTTTTGGAAGGACTAACTTTCTTGAAGAAAACGAGCAAACGTTGTACCTTTGATACTAAACGGATTTAAAATTATCATCGATGGTTAGAAATCCTTGACCTTTTTTAACAAGAACAAAAATTTATCTTAAATAAAAATTATTGAGTTGGCAACTAAATCATTGCAGATTTTGTTTTACAATTAATTCAGTTTTTTGATAGCAAAGATCAGAAATTTTATGACACTGCCTGACAGATGGTAAAAGGTCATCAACTTTGGACAATACTTAGTTGCCAACCCAACATATTCATGCAAACGTAGAAAATAAAACAAATATGAAATAACAACGATTTTAGGATGTTTTCTAAAAAGAAAGAAAGAAAAGAAAAAAAAGTATCTTAGGACGTTTTACACGAACGCGTCGTGGATGGTGGATGGTGGATAAAGCGCCCCTAAAGCCCACTTTCGGACAGAGCAAACAAGCCGTAACTCAGTGAGTGTTTATGAGAGGAGTAGTCGTAAAAATACGCGAATCGGGGCCTCGGTGTGTTTCTACCGTTTAGCTGGACCCACCCTTACTACTACTACTTCGTCCAACTTTTTCTCGAGACCACTTTTCCTCTTTCCATCTTTTTCTTTTACTTTCATATATATATATATATCTTCTTTCTCTGTTCATTTCATCGAAACAAAGACTCTCTTTTAGAGTTGGAAAATACAGAAAGGGACGAACGAACGAATGAACGAACGAACGGTAGGGATGAAAGAGAATGAGAGTGAGAGTGTGTTTCCATGGGCGCATGTTGCCGGATCGTAAAACTCGGTCTGATCACCGCTACCAATTATCCCGCCGTTATCCGAGCGTTATCCGAACGTTATCCGGAACGTTATCCACCTCTGCCTGGCCTGTATTCCATGGAAGAACCCTCTCACCATCATCCAAATCACTACCGAACCCTTGAACCTCACCGTTTTGCAAGAGAGACAGAGACAGAGGAAAAGAGAAAGAGGGAGAACAAACCTTATACCTCGACACCCTGTTGTTGTCGCCTTTTAGTGCAAACCAAGTGATTTCCTCCTCGTAAACGTGACGTCTTTAAGGATCCAAATACTTCCTAAACATCTTGTATTATACTAAACTCTATCTCTGTTTCTGTCTCTCTATTTTTCAATTCTATTTTTATACCCTTGCTTGTTTTGTTTTTATTTCCAACCTTTTGGATAATACTGCTGGTATATTTTGTTTAATCTTTTCTGTATTCAGTATGAATCGATTTATTTATTTAGAGTTCATATCATGTTTGAGACACTCGAAACTCAACAGGGGGTGTTTTAAACGAGAGTATATCTCGGATAAATTATTTCCGTCACTTAAACTTCATTCTAACTTTTCTGATTGACAATGAGTTACAATTGAGTGATGTAAAGTGGAGATTATTTTATAAAAACATTTACGAGAATAATATTATATTTAATGGTTTCGCGATAGATTATATTATGAATTAAATTCAATAAGAATTATTAAGTATATTTAAATAAATAAATATAGAAAGATAAAATCAAAGTTCATTTTATTCAAACAAATAAAATTATAGATCATATGAACCGTAATGAAATTGTTGCATATTGTACATGTGATATATATTTTGTGTATTTAAATGTGTGTAATAATTGAATTCCGAAACTGGGTCCGACTTACCGGCTCGATTACTTTGATCGATCATCGGCTGTACGATTCTACGCCTCGCGTTGATAAACCTGTAATAAGAGAAAAGAAAAAAAAACAAATTAATAATCAACACGTGACATCATTTTCATTAATAAAAAGTTGTGAAAAGGTTTAAGGGGTAAAGTGTAGCAGAAGGAAGCAAATAAAAACAAGAAGAAAAGAAGGATTACAACTCATCGAGGTTTGTAGGGTTGGAAATATTTGTTGTAATAGAAAAAAATAAGGGATGGAATAATATTTTCGATACGTCATTAGCTACGCCAGCTAAAGGAGTTTCCGTACGAACGCTTTCCAAACAATAGATCTGCGGTTTGTTTCGTGGTTGGTCGAGGTCCAAAGGGGATGGTGTAAGAACGAATGAAGAAATGGAAGAAGAAGAAGAAGAAGAGGGTAGTAGATGTGAATAGTGTCGGAGTAAGAAGAAAAGGGGGTAAAAGAGAAAGAGAGAAGAAGAGCGTACGTCAGCCGACGTCAGCGTCGCGGCTCCCTAATGGGCGCAGACGCCGGAAGTGATTGGGTTTCTGCTCGACTGACTCAAGTACTACACCCCCGCAAACGCGAATGGAAAAGCGAGCGAGCTTCTTGCGAGCTTCTTGCGAGCTTCTTGTAAGCTTTCTCGTTCGTGTGAGGTAGCCGGTCAAACCCCTAACACAACACACTCGCACAACCAACACACCCCTTTCCCAATTCGACTATTTCTTCCACGATCTTACACGAGCGAATAATTTCCTCGGCGTACAACAGAATCTTATGAATAATAATTATTAAACGCTCTTTGGTATTATCCCTTCAACCACCCCAAACCTAAACTCAATCCAACCACAAACCCTTCTCTTGTCCTGTCTCATCAAGAAAATAACGCTATTTTAGAGTTCCTCACGCTCTACTTACGTTCAAAGTTAAAGCAAATAATCGACTAGGGTTATAAATGATATAAAAACATACTTATCCAATCGATTAAATGGTTCATGCTATTTAAATTGTTTAATCACGTAGGCACACAGTCAAGTTGCAGTTTCATCTCATTTATGATTCATTCAAACAATGTTTCAATTATTTAGAAATATATTTTTTCTTGAATATTTGATGAATAATTATCGATGAAGGAACGTGCCGTAAAAATGGCGATCGAGAGAGAGGAAGGAGAGAATCGGAGAGTTAGGTTGAGAATAGTAGTAGTATACGACGAGTAGAAGGAGGGAAAAGTGAGTAGAAGGTTGGGTGTAGTGGTATGGGATGTAGGGAGGGGAAGAGAGGGCCTCTTCAAAGTCAGGGCTATCGTCGGATGAAAGAGTATCTCGCGTGCATAAACCGAGGGCCCCTTTCCAGCAGTCCCGGGTTCTCCTAAGCGTCTCTGCTTCCCCTTTGCCGGCGTAGGCAGCGTGTCACAGACAGCTGACTACCAACCGCCTTCCTCTCCGCCCTTCGTTCTGCCACCCCCGCGGCTGAAATATCGCCCGAACAATGCTGAGCTACCCCAGTGAGAGTGAGAGAGATAGAGAAAGGGACGAAATACTACTGGCGACTGCCCGAACTCTGCCCAAGTACCATCCTCTCTCTCTCTTGTGTTCAACTACCTCTACGTCCTTTCATGAAACTCGCAAAAACCACTAAAAATATCTTCGTCGGAGGAAAATTGAAGTTCCCTACGTTTTCGAGATCCCTTGAAATCCTCTACCGCTTGCTGGTTGGTTGGTCGTGTTTCTGATATTTCATTAAATTAATATGTAATTTAATAAGTTAATTAACTACGAATTTTATTTGAATTGTTTGAGAAAATTCGTGTGGATTAATATTTTTTAATGTGTTATAAAACTTGTTTAGTAATCATTATTTTGATATAAAGGATAAATTTATTAAATATTATTATTTTTTGTAGTACGAAACGAAAACCATTAAAAATATCTTCGTCAGAGGAAAATTGAAGTTCCCTACGTTTCCGAGATCCCTTGAAATACTACGCTTGGTTACTTGTATTACTGACATTTCATTAATTTAATATGTAATGTAATAAGTTAATTAATTTTTTGTATTTTATTAGATTGCTTAGAATCTCATGCAATCGTTGGGTAGACCATCAGGTAACCTGGAAAATTTTTGCTAATATGTAAAACAATATACTTTAAGTATATTAAAATATTATTAATAGAATATAAATGAATTATATATAATTTCTTTTATATGATTTCTAATTTAAAGAAATAATTTTTTTTTATTAATGTTATTATTATTATTAATATTTAAAGTATAAAACGATCAAATATATAGATTAATGTTTTTCATGGTAACGAGGAATATCCGTACGAGGTGAGCATATTGTTATCGAGGCGGTTCCCGGCGGCACCCTAGATGACAAAACACTTTTCATTCGCGCTCCTCCCCCCTTACTTTCACGATTTTAATGCAGTTTTGATTATGAGAGTCTCTGGGTGGGCTGGTGTCAGTGAGGGGTAGTTTTCTATCTCCTGGTATGGCACGAAACAGAACTCCCATTTCGAACGATCGTACGTGTTTTTAATGTTGCCGAGGGTTGAAGGAACCGTTCCGTCTCTCTTTGCTTTGTCATCGGGGAGCGGAATTTGAATTTTTCATGAAAGGAGATACAAGCTCCTGTTCTAGACATGATTATGAAAAGAGAAAGAGAAAGAGAGTGTGAAAACGATACGACTAAATTAAATTCTCCCTTAAATTATTCCAATTCTAACAGATTATCTCTGAAACATCGAAATATATATTTTAAGTTTTAAAGAAAACAAAAGAGACAAGAGAGAAAGGTTGGTAGAATAAAAAGAAAAAGAAAAAAGAAACATAGGACGTCGTCGTTGAAGAAAAATCGCATAAAACGCAGGGTTGGTGTCTCCCACATGACCTTCCACGTACCATGACTAAACTTACTGCTCTTTGAACGCATGCATGAATAATGTTTAAATTTTGCTTATCCTAGCGATACGTAAATTATCGACAACCCTTTTTTTCTGAATATTTTTTGAAACATTTTGAAAGAAACAAAAGACATTTTGTAGTTTCTTTTAATCGGAAATATTTGATAATAGTAAAAGACGGAAATTGTGAAAGTGTGTGGTAGTGTATATAGGTTCGTCAAGATTCGTCGTTTCGACGGTATGCGAACTCGATAACGATGATTACTGTCGTGCTAGCAACATTTACTCTTCGTCGGCATTCGCAATTATCGGAGAGCTTCCATTAGTTAACTGCAGTCGATACACGGCGCACCAGGGTCCTCGCATCAAAACATCATTACAGTCCGGACACAAGTGAGAGAGAGAAAGATAGAAAGGGGAAAGGGGGTGTGTTCCCAGTACTATTGGTAATCAATTTTGCTCCTATAGCAAGCTAGCATCGAGAGAGGCACGCTAATGCGGAGCTTCGACGTTCACACCGCATTAGGGAAAGGCAAAGAGGCCGTTCCATAATCATTGCCCATTAGAAAATGGATCGAAGATCGGTCATGTAACTTTCCAATGACAATTTTTTTTTATATTTCAATCAAAAATCTAACGATACAATTATTTGTCTTTATGATTAATTTAAATTATATATTATAAATAATATTATAATAATTTTAGGATGATGATAGTGAAGACACTACTATTCTAGACATTGAAAATGTGAAGATAATATTAAAGAATAATTTAAAAATGACTTTTCTCTCTCAATCGAATTAAATAATATCGCGTTTGTGGATCTCGGTAGAATTCGTAAAAATAAATTGAGTTTTTATTAGGTAATAAAAGTAATTGACACCTCATTCGATTGAAATCGCGGGTAGCTCTTTTTAAATATATATGTATGTATATGTATATATTGAAGAGAAGGCGACATGAATATAGAGAGAGAAAAAAGAGAAAGAGGGTAGGAGAGAGGAGGGAGGGTTGGGCGACGTCGATAAAAGGTTATCGTCCTATCCAGGTGTAAAAGCGACGGCCCCGGGCTCTCCCGTGTTATAAATCCAGATACTCATAATCGGGTATTGCCCAGCGTTGCATTTACGATCGATAAAATCATTTTATCCGCGCATAATGCGCCAACCGATTCACGCAACCGTCCCTGCCGATTTCTTTTCCTTCACCATTCTTTTTTTTTCTTCTTCTTTCTTGTTTTTTTGTTTGCATCGATCGAGTAGCACGATCGCGATTTTATTGTAATGTATTCCAATATCCTTTGACTCCCCCTCGTACTCGACTCCTAAGCTCATTCAAGTAAGGAAGGAAGGAAGGAAGAACTACCACGCGACATATATTCATAATTTTCATTGGACAAATTCAATGAGCATTGTAGGAACCGTACGCATCGCGACACCGTGTGTAATCGCGTTTCCTGAACGGCTAAACCCGACCGAGTGCACTCCGAATTTCCTCCGAAAATTCGCGTCCGTCAGTGGTCGAGCTTCGTCGATCGTGCGAAGAGCCGATAATAATAATCGCTAAAGGGTTGCTTGCTGAAAGGCTTATCGAAGGCTGATGATTATGAACGACGACGAGCGGTGAACCGTAAAGATAATACGAGTCGAATACCGATGCTTCGTTTACTTAATTAAACGGAGAGCATAGAACGCGAGAGATCAAAACGGAGTAGACAAAAATTGCGAATGTTTGAACGGGAAAAAAAAGGGTGTCGAGGGATACCAGGGGCTAGGTGAAAAATGATTCGATGCGTCTGTCCACTGGCTGCAGTTACCACCACTACTACCAATCATATCCATTCCAAAATTCGTCCATCTGTTATTACAAATAAAATAATTTCAATTGCTATCGTTTCTTAAAATTCTTATTTAATGTAACACATTTTTTTGTATTGTTTTATAGAATATAGATATAGATGAATCAGAAAGTCAAAAAGAGAGAGAGAGAGTGATAAAAATTCGTATGGTCTGACCTGGTAGCGATGCTGTTCTACTGGAGGTGATAGAGTAGGGAGGTGGAACGCAACGAACGAGGCCGGCGATCGCGCGTATCGGATACGCGTAGACAGCTTATGTGTGTCAACAAAGCGATTTAACACGCGACGT